ATTACTATTGAAGTTGCACTGAAGTTCATTTAAAAACATTTTTGGTTTTTGACATGCTACTGATGATCTGAATCTTGTGTTCAGTTGCTTGTACAGTGTGACAGTCTTATTTTTTGTGATTGTTACAATGCTATAATCTAAATACCAGTGGCAAATTTAAACTCAATGTGAGCTATACAAACATTTCCCTCACAAAAATTGCCACTGTACATACACTTTTCCTGCATTTTCCAGTTGTGACCGAGACTTGTGAAATAGAACGAGTTAGAGATTGCAAAAGAAAGATCCAAGTGGTCGATACCCCCGGCATTCTGGATACGTCTAAAAATACAGACATCATAAATAAAGAGATTGCAAAATGCATTCACATGACCACTCCTGGGCCTCACGTCTTCCTGCTGGTTCTTCAGATTGGCAGGTTTACCCAAGAAGAAAACAACTCTGTGCGAGCTCTGGAGAAACTCTTTGGACCTGAGGCAACAAACTACACGATCATCCTGTTCACTCACGGTGACAAGCTAACTAAAGAGAAGACAACCATACAAGAGTATTTGAGAACTGGCCAACCTAAACTCAGACAGTTGTTGGCTAGGTGTGGTGAAAGATATCATGTCTTCGATAACAAAGATAAAAACAGAATTCAGGTGGCTCATCTGATCAAGAAGATCGATCACATGGTGGGAACAAATGGAGGATGTCACTACACAGATAAAATGTTTGAGAAAGCGCAGGAGCAATTAAAAACATCAGGACAGCTTTTAAATGAGGCCTTCATGGCAGAGCTGCGGCAAAAAGTCATCCTGTTTCAGCAAATATTGGCTAATCCAGAGGGCTGGACTAGCTAGGACTACACTTGCCAGTCTTCTGAGTCAATAATGGATCCTTAATCTGATGTAAACGGCCATTAGTTTCCAATTTTGTAATCACAGTAGCTTAAAAAACTGCTTAATGTTTTTAGTTGATATGCTGTCTTATGTCTATTATTATGTGTATAATAGTGTTGTCTGAGAACAAATGTATAAATAATTTAAGTCTGTATGTCTGGTATGTAACCTACATTACATTTATTTTTATGTTCACTAGTAAATATTTTGAGCAGTATATACAAATTCAAGATCTGCTGTAATTAAATAAAACATGAATTGAAAAAAAAGGGTTTTTTCACCTTTTTTGTTTCACTATCAACCATAAAAGTTGATACATCAATCGCGATTTGGTCAAAATTCAGTGACTAATTGAAAACGATCTATTTACTATTTTGGTATCATATCATAATTTGAGGAAGAGGTCAGAGCATCGATCTGAGTTTTACTTATATTGTACCAAATTGCGGCACTACTTGCCTCAGAATACTTCATACTGTTAGGTAAAGAGTTTACATTGTTAGAGACATCAACAAATAGTCCTGTAGGAGTAAGAACTAAGTGAATGTGGGCAGGGAAAGCTTCTTTTTAACAAAATCTGTGGAATCTCCAGAGAAAGAGAGAATTTAGGGAGAAGGAAAACAAGGACAAAGTATAGATGATGGGAGAGAGGAGACAAAATTACATGAGGCAGTAGTTATAAACCCCCGGGGAATGAAAAGAGGTAATAGGGAATCAATGCTCAGTGTATAGAAGTTTTATATAAAAGTTTTATATTTATATTTTTACAGTAACTTGATAACAGCAAAACTACAGACAGACCACAGGACTCATTTTCAAAATACAATGACAGTAACTTTATATTTGCACTAGTTTTATGTGTCAGATTGAAATATTCAAATTAGTGTTTCACCTGTTGTTACATTTTAACCTTTATCTAAAGCTGTTTGGAAACTACTAAGATTTCTGAACATAATAAAAACCTGTTATCAAATGTTTTATACTCCCATAGAGCACATTAGTGATTATGATTACTGCTGTTAAAAAATCATCAAGGCATAATCATGTCACGAAATACCTGAATGCCATTTTATCACTTTATGAGATTGGAAATGACTGGAAATGAAGACGGGGAGTTGCCTTGTTTTTTCACATATCTTTATTACTGTGAAAAAGAAAGGCCAGCATTGACCAGGACATGAACAACAGGCTATCGTCAATTTTTTGTATTCACAAATTAAAAAGTGTTTTTGCCCTGGAGATGGAAACCAAACCAAACTAGATCAAACCAATAACACAAGCAAAGCAGCATGTCGTCCTTGTAAAAAGAAGTAAAAAACGAACAAGCCAAGAGGCAAGTTTCTATTTTACATGTTTTATTCATTATCAGCACAACAATGAAAACAACACAAAAACAAAAAACAAACAGAATCACATATATTTAAAATCATTACATGCATTTACAAATACATATATAGGGAAAAGAGGAGATAAAGAAAAGAAGAAAAGAAAAAAAAACTACAAAAAAACAATTATTTACGATCTACCATCTTCACTCCAGCAGTGGACCTTGGATTCATCGGGTGTTTTGGCCACGTCTATCACTAGACACCCTTATCCGAGGAGGCCCTGCCAGGGTTGATCAGGCCCCGGAGTGTGTCACTGGTTTATGTTAAAATTGTTATTTCTCTTCTACTTCTCTTCTACTTTCTTCTGTTTAGTTTTCTACAATTTACTTTCTTGTACCTCTTTAATATTTATGGAGCCTCACTTTTTCAAAGGAATAGAAAAGGTGATAGAGAGAAGTAAGACAACAGAGAAAAGATCAGAGAGGAGAGCTGGAAGGGGGGCGCCTGATCTGGCATCCTACACCTCCCCACTGGATCGGACTACATCCTACACCCCCCCCTCACCGTATCTAAAAGCGTACTTAAAAGAGAGGCAGTGGAAACCTCCTTTAGGTTTCATTACCATGATGTTAACTGCACGGCCCCCAGGAGGCCCTGAGACAGCTGTATCAGTCAACCAGCAGAATTTCTAGTGTTAAGTTTTCTACCCTTTTGATGCCCCCTGCTGAGGCAGGCCCACCACGGGTTGATCAATCCTGGGGGTGTGTCTCGTGCTTAGCTGACTGCCTTAGCTGCCCAAGTGATGTCAGCCCTCTTTAGCCACAGTGACTGCTCCTCTCAGCAGTGTTAGCCAATTCTCTTATAGACTACCGTTGTGCCTGTCCTCCGATCCCAATCTCTCTAAGCAGTTTTGCTGTCGTACTGGCTACAAAGCCCCTGCACCCCACTTCCACACCTTGATCTTCCAGCCTCTGTCCTCTGCCCCAGCTGCCAAGTTGGCATACCGCAGCCTCTTAAGCTCAAATGCTTCCTCAGTTGCTTCCTCCCATGGTACCGTCAGCTTAATGACGTACGCAAGTTTTTGGGATTTAGACCAGAGGACAAGGTCTGATCGCAGAGTAGTTCTTATTATCTCTGTGGGAAAAATTAGCCTCTGATCCAAGTCCACTTGCATCTTTGTAAATAGTCAATGGTGCAATAGACTAAATACTTGAAATGTGCAATTCACTTGTATTTTTATTCCTATTTATTCTATTTATCCCCTTCGTATATTTTATTTATATTGTCTCTGTATTTATATATATATGTGTGTGTGTGTGTGTATGTATATATATATATATATATATATATAGTATATATATATATATATATATATATATATATATATATATATATATATAATAATATATACATATATATATAATATTCTGTAACTCGTAACTTATGTCGGCTGTCTTTTTTGGAATCGAATTCCCAGAGGAACCACCCGAGGATTAATAAATTAGCCTCTGATCCAAGTCTACTTGCATCTGCCAATCCCTGGCGCAGGCCCAGACCAGGGTTAAAGGGCTAGTCCTCAGCTTGTCCTCCTCTGGGACAAATGATGAATACTGATGCTCCAAAAATGCAGGAGGTTAAATCTGTTTGTGTTTTATGTTATTTTCAAATAAACACGTGATACTTGGTCCCAATACGGGTATCTCGAGGTCAGAAATTCATTATCACATTATTACATCAGCAAATGATTCATAAATGTGATGAACTTTGACAAGAAGCAATAAAACTAAATAACTGTCACTTACGAGAAGGCTCAGGAGAATTCATCTTGGCAAATGTTTAATGAAGAGTGCTGTGGGTTTCAGCAGCGTCTCTGAACTTGCTTTGAAATAGGTCAGACTCATGCTGATATAGGCTGAGAATTAGCTCCACCCTCTGGGCGGAGTGCACACTAAAACTGTGGAGTGCTGCTTCAATTTCATTCTCCAAACGCACTAGAGATGGGCAACAGCGACTCAATCCCTAAAGGTAAAAAAGATGCTTTAAATGAGATTTTCAACTAAATTTGGGTTTCTAACTAAACATTTTTTTCTTTCTGCAGGTGATCCTCTGAGGATTGTGATGATTGGGAAAACGGGTGTTGGGAAAAGTGCTGCTGCCAACACGATTGTGGGAAAAGAGCTTTTTGAGTCTGAAGTGAGTTTAGAGTCGGTGACGGCGACCTGTGCAAGAGAACGAGTTAAACACTGCAAGAGAGTGATCCATGTGGTCGATACCCCTGGCTTTCTGGATACATCTAAACGTGCAGATGACATAAAGAAAGAAATTGCAAAATCCATTCAGATGAGCTCTCCAGGCCCTCATGTTTTCCTGATGGTCCTTCAGATTGGCCGGTTTACCAAAGAAGAAAACAACTGTGTGCAAGCCCTGGAGCAACTCTTTGGACCTGAGGCATCAAACTACATGATGATTCTGTTTACTCATGGTGATGACCTGACTCACAAGAAAACAACCATACATGAGTATTTGACAAGAAACAGCCATCCTAAACTCAAAGAGTTGCTGAATCGATGTGGTAATAGATACCATGTTTTCAACAACATGAATAAGAAGAGAACTCAGGTGGTTGAGCTGATCAAGAAGATTGATGACATGGTGGCAGCAAATGGAGGATCACACTACACTGATGAAATGTTTCAGAAGGCACAGACGATTCTGCAGCAAGAAGATAAAGACACACCTGAAAAGCTTTTAAAGAACGCTCCCTTCATGTTGGAACTGCAGCGAAAAGTCCTCCTGTTTCAGAAAGTGTTGGCTAATGCAAAGGGCTGGGCTGATGACTAGGACCATGCCAGCTATTCTTGTGAGTCGATAATATGTCTGTAAGGTGAACAAACAGCTCTTAACTCCCATCTTTAGTAATCACAGTGGCTTTTTTTGCACAGCAAAATTGAATAAGCTGTGAGATTTAAGGTGACATGCTGTCTTATGCCTTTTATTCTCTGTATAATAGTGTTTGCACATCTGGCATATTTTCTTTCCTCTTGATGTCATTGTTGTTCCACATCATTGCATTTTGTTTTTTTCTTAAATTTTACACACTGTCCCAAAATTTATTTTGAATTAGGGTTGAAAGTAAAATGTCAGTTAAATTTCAAAAGGCCTCCTGTCTTACTTTTTTACCTACACACACAAACAAATGTGGCCAATAAACAAGAGATGAAACTATGAAATCAGTATGCTTTAAGAATGGGGAGTTTTGTTTCTGAAATTGTACAAGCCGGTATAGGAAAATCTCAATTTAATTTTATTTCCAAAACAAAAGCCTCCAGTTATTTTAAAGAAACTAACAGGATGCTCTGAAATATCTCAGATACCTGCCATTTATGTCAGGTCTGGTGAGGCACATGGCATGGCAGGAGGAGATTGAGGGCCCAAATGCAGGCACACGGAGATGAGGGTGGATGATAACAAAAAACAAGCTTTTATTGCCAGCTGTACAAAAACTACAAACAGGAGGAACTGAGGAAACTAACTAAAACCTGGGCAGGGAAAATAAGCATAAACACATAACCTGAGGATAGAGACCCGAAGCAAGGGACAAGGTACCAGGAAACGCAAGGAAAGCTGATGGAGGAAACACAGGGGCAACACGGAGGAAGGCACACAGACGGTCCGATGAGGAACAGGGAGAAGCACACATTATAAATACACACAGAGGGACGCGAGGACGGAGCAAACAGGAGCAATACTCAAAACACTGAACACAGGACACGAGACTATCAAAGTCAAACATCAAATACATGAACATAGAGACAAGGATGACAAGAGCCACAGAAACACCTAAACACTAGAAATCATAACCAATAACCAGAACTTACCTAATGTGATGAATATTAAATAATCAGTATCTGTCACAGGCTGGGTCTCTGACCCAGCGCTCTGAGTTCATGTTTGTATTTGTCTCATTTTGTTATGTGATTTAGTTTGTGTTATTTCCTATCTGCCTTTAGTTTAGGCAGTTATTGTTCCTGGGTTTTCTATGTTTTGGGGTTTTGTATTTATTCATCATGTATTAGGTCTGTTAAGTTGTGTTGTCACGTTTAGTTTTAGTATTTCCTGTTTTATTTTGACAATGTCATGTGTTCTTTGTTCATTGTATTTAGCTTTCCTCTCCTGGTCCTGTCATTAGGTTTATGTCTGTCAGCTGTTTCCCCCATGTGTCCCCACTTCCCCTGATCACCTCATGTCTGTATTTAAGCCTTTTGTTTTCTTCATGCCATTGTCGGTTCGTCTGTTTACCTCAGCCATAGTTCTAGTTTTCGTCTGTTAATTCCACGTTAGTCTTAGTCTGTTTATCTCACCAGAGTTACAGTTATAGTCTTAGTCTTTGCCTGTTATTTTCCACCTCAGTTATAGTTATAGTTTTTGGTCTTAGTACCTTTAGTGTTTTGTTTCTTAGTGTTTTGCCAGTTTGTTTTGGTTTCCTGGTTTAACCCTGCCGTCATTTAAATAAAGCCTCACCTTTCTGTTAAACCTTACTACTCCTCATCGTCATCTGCTTTTGGGTCCTGTTTCCACACACACGGCGCACCCCGCCGTGACAGAACGAACCGACAGTATGGACCCAGCGGATGCAGCTCTCGTCGAGTGTCTGGAGGAGACGGCTCGTATCCAAGCGATCCTCGACCGCATCTTTACAGCGCCCGATTTGAAGAGCAAGCTGGTGATGGTTAACGTTGCTGAAGCTATTATGGAGAGGGATCCCCGCCTTCTCCAGCTCCCGGACTCACCTGCCATAGTTGCTGCCTTTACCGAGGATAAAGGAGATGCTGCAGGCCCAGGAACTGTCGAGTCAGGAAATGGCTTCCAGCACCCACCAGTCACAACAACCCCACAATCAGTCATCTCCATTGCTGCCTCCGGAACCTGAGTGTGTTCGTGTCGGTTCGCTGAGATTCGCCGCAGCGTCACCACCTCTCAGCTCACCAGTTTCCACGCCCTCATCACAGTCTCGCCATACTCCTGTCACAGTTCAGCGCGAGGAAGCGCCGCACACCATAGACTTGGACGACGACGAGCGCCAGTCTATATTCTGCGCTCTCTTGGAGGAGGAGCTCCGGTGGAAGCCGTGGCTCATTCCGGAGCACGAGCACTCTTTCCGGGGAACTCGACTGGCTCTCGGGGGACCTCGGAGTTACCAGGGACTTCCACCCATCGCTCCGCCGTCTTCCACTTCCAAGAAGAAACGGCGCGCGCGCCACCGACGCTCCGCATCACGAACGCAAGGGAGTGATTAATTTTGGCTCCTCATGTTTTCTCTCAGGAGGTTGTTGATTTTGACACTACTTTTCCAATTAATGAGCCCGGCTACAAAGAGACTGTTTGCCCTGGAAATGCTAGCCCTCAGGCTCAGCTAAGCTGCTGTGGGACGGCTATCCAGGCCGGTTTGGAGCCGGAGACGGAGGTACAGCTGGTGCAGCCAATTTCAGTGTCAGCCGGAGGGCCCGGGGAGCCCGTCCAGCCTCATGCTTCGTCTGCTGGAGGTTCAGGAGAACCCAGCCAGCCTCATGCTTCGTCTGCTGGAGGTTCAGGAGAACCCAGCCAGCTTCATGTGTCTGCTGGAGGTTCAGGAGAACCCAGCCAGCTTCATGTTTCGTCTGCTGGAGGTTCAGGAGAACCCAGCCAGCTTCATGTTTCGTCTGCTGGAGGTTCAGGAGAACCCAGCCAGCTTCATGTTTCGTCTGCTGGAGGTTCAGGAGAACCCAGCCAGCTTCACGTCTCGTCTGCTGGAGGTTCGGGAGAACCCAGCCAGCCTCACGCCACGTCAGCTGGAGGGCCCGAGGAGCCCGTTCAGCCTCACGCCACGTCAGCTGGAGGGCCCGAGGAGCCCGTTCAGCCTCACGCCACGTCAGCTGGAGGGCCCGAGGAGCCCGTTCAGCCTCACGCCACGTCAGCTGGAGGGCCCGAGGAGCCCGTCTGGCCACCTTCTGCTTCACCACCTGTGGTTGCAGCACCACCTCCTGCGGCTCCCGTGCTGACGCCTGCAGGACCACCACTGCCTACGCCTCAGCTAGGTGATTATGATCCGACGTGTGATTCTTGGTTCTTACTTCTACACACCGTTCAGCCACCTTCTGCTTCACCACCTGTGGCTGCAGCGCCACCTCCTGCGGCTCCCGTGCCGCCACCTGCAGGACCACCACCTGCTGCACTACTGCTTGCTGCTTCTACGCCTCAGCCTGAGGACGACGCCTCGCCTGGTTCTGCCACACCTCAGTCTGAGAACACATATAAACTCATTTCACCCAATATAGACTGTGTGTTGCTGCAACTTACACAGCCTCCTGCCATGTCGGCTGGGGGGCCTGAGGAGCCCGTCCAGCCACCACCTGTGGCTGCCTCACTGTCACCTGGTTCTGCCTCTGCTACGCCAGGACCAGCTCCGGTCTGTGCTTCACCTGGTCCAGCTTCAGCCTCTGCTTCTGCTTCGCCTGGACCAGCTCCAGTTTGTGCTTCGCCTGGTCCAGCTTTGGCCTCTGCTTCTGTGTCGGCCTCGCCTGGTCCTGCGGCTGTGTTGCCGCCGCCCAGGCCACGTTTTGCCCCTCGGAATCGCCGGCCGCTTTCCGGGCCGTCAGCTGGACTTCGTTGCCATCAGGGTCGGCCGCCTGAACTGGTGAACTATGACCTGCTGTGCTCTCGACCTCCGGGTCGGCCCCCTGAGCTCATGGATTGTGGACTGCTGGACCGTTGGCCTCCTGGTCGGCCTCCCGAACTTTTGTCCTCTCTTTTGTTTTGCTGTCGACCTCCGGGGCGGCCGCCTGAACCGCTTCGCCATTCGCTCCTGTTCTGCCGGGTTCATGGTCGCCCTCCTGAAGCTGGGTCTCGGACTCTTGTACCCTTGTTGTTTTTGGCCTGTGTGCTTCTGGTGCTTTGTTTTTGGTTTTGTTTCCGGCCCTCCTTCCTGGTCCCCCTCCGCCCGCCCTGGGTGGGTTGTCGTGGTTTTGTGTTTGTTTTCTGGTTTTGGGCGTCTGGAATCCGCCCTTGAGGGGGGGGCTCTGTCACAGGCTGGGTCTCTGACCCAGCGCTCTGAGTTCATGTTTGTATTTGTCTCATTTTGTTATGTGATTTAGTTTGTGTTATTTCCTATCTGCCTTTAGTTTAGGCAGTTATTGTTCCTGGGTTTTCTATGTTTTGGGGTTTTGTATTTATTCATCACGTATTAGGTCTGTTAAGTTGTGTTGTCATGTTTAGTTTTAGTATTTCCTGTTTTATTTTGACAATGTCATGTGTTCTTTGTTCATTGTATTTAGCTTTCCTCTCCTGGTCCTGTCATTAGGTTTATGTCTGTCAGCTGTTCCCCCATGTGTCCCCACTTCCCCTGATCACCTCATGTCTGTATTTAAGCCTTTTGTTTTCTTCATGCCATTGTCGGTTCGTCTGTTTACCTCAGCCATAGTTCTAGTTTTCGTCTGTTAATTCCACGTTAGTCTTAGTCTGTTTATCTCACCAGAGTTACAGTTATAGTCTTAGTCTTTGCCTGTTATTTTCCACCTCAGTTATAGTTATAGTTTTTGGTCTTAGTACCTTTAGTGTTTTGTTTCTTAGTGTTTTGCCAGTTTGTTTTGGTTTCCTGGTTTAACCCTGCCGTCATTTAAATAAAGCCTCACCTTTCTGTTAAACCTTACTACTCCTCATCGTCATCTGCTTTTGGGTCCTGTTTCCACACACACCGGCGCACCCCGCCGTGACAGTATCAAAAACTCTTTTTTTTTTTTTTATAACCAAGGTCTTTAAATGTAACTTTTTAGCATCAAGCAATAAACAGTTTCCTATTCTCCAGAAATGTAATTGGATTGATCACAACATGATTACTAACTAGAATAAAACTATTGCTATTAAGAGAAATGTGCTACCTTTGGAGTTCCACAGAGTTTTGTGGGACTGGATATGTTCCTCGGTAAACATAATTTCCATGGGACTATTTTAGGAAACTCTGTATACACTTCAGTAGCTATTCAGATGAAAGCAAATTATATTTATCTACATAGAAAAATCACAAATGAGCAGAGTTTTGCATTTGGACCCCAAAACTATATTTTTAGCCATTTAGCCATCCAGATTAAAGCAATATTTTAGTCTGGATGGCATTAGCTTGGATTCCAGTAAAACGGAGAGGAATCTCAGCCGTCATAGGGTCAATAGCACAGGAAGTGCTGACTATGTTTTATGAAATAAACCCTTTACGTCCTGGGTTATTTCATTTTTCTTTCAGGAGGAATTTCCCCAAATCCGATCAGTAACAGCTATTATTCAATCCGGTAAATGAGCAAACCTTACATCTCCCTTTGCTTTCTAGTGTGTGATTTCTGAGTGTGATTTTAAAAACAGATTTTAAAGGATTTGAAAATTGTGATTCTGTTTAATTGTTTATGTAAATAACAGAGTAAATAACATAATAATAATAATAATAACAACAACAACAAAAGTTATAAAGTTTTTATTTGTGACTTTACCAAATTCAATGCAACAAAACTGAAGTAGCATAAATCTATGTCCATTTTAGTCCTCGTAATGGAGGTTTCCAGTAGTAGTATTGTACATGAATTTTCAATTTACCTCTATCTGGGAATCTCAAAAAAAGAAAAAAATTCACTCTCTCAACACACCCTCTCACTATTACAACAAAGTAAGGTCCAAGGGAAAAACATGATGCTTATTATTCAGAGTGTTCAGTCTTTCATCTTTCTTTTCAAACTTCTGAAAACTGCAAGAAGAAGCTAAAACAGGACGAGACATGAAGTGACCATTTAAAATCAGTTAATTTACACGAGGACAGCAAGTCCAGGCAGCTCACAGGCCTGTTCCCTGTGGTAGATTAAGTTGTCTCATTGGAAGGTTGGAGCTCCAATCCCTGGCTGCTACAGTCTGCATGCTCAATATCCTTGGGCAAGATATTGAACCCCAAGTGGCTCTCTGATGCTTCCATGGGTGTGTGAATGTTAGATAGAAAACACTTAAAAAAGCATGTAGAAAAAGCATAAAAATGGGCTTGTATGAAATGATGTGAATGAGGCAAGTTGTATAAAGTGCCTTGAGTGCTCAGGTAGAGCAGAAAACCGTTATATAAGAACCAGTCCAATTAGATAATTAGATCCAAAAGTAGATCCAAAATAGTGTTTCAGCTGCAGAAGTCTGTTGTTACAGTTTAACTTTTTTTACAGTTAGATGGAAACCACTAAGACTTTGACCTCTGAATAAAAAAACAAAACTGTTCTCAGTTGATTGATTGTTCACCAGGGTGCTTAGTCTTACTGCAATAAATTAAATATGGCACTATGATAAAATTACCTGACTACCACTTTTTTATGAGACTTTATGAGACTTCTTGCTTATCTTTATTACTATCAAAGAGAGAAGTAAAGGTAATCAGTACAAGAGTATGACAACAACAGAGCGTGTCATGTTTTTATATTCAAGTCAGAGTCTCTTTGGCATCTATCCACATGGAGGTAAAAGTTAACGGGAAATATTACCAGAACTCATTGCAAAAATGTTTTTTACTAATACTTTTTAGAAGAAACATGCCTTATGAAAACAAACTCAAAACCAAATGTAAAATATGTACCAATGGGCTTTTTAAAGAAAAAAAATTGTAAGACAAATTAATATCTACTTCATTTCCATTTCTAGTCCTTTAACATCTAATGACTTTTAATGTTTAATGTTTCCTTATCACCATTTTGCTTTTTGGAACCCACTGCCTGTTGTCTCAGTACTTATCGTATAGAGACAATGGCCAACGTTTCACTTTGGCTTAAAAATCTGATCCAGTTGTTTAAAAATCTGATCTCTTGCCAGATGATGGCATGTGTAATAATGACGAAAGTCTGAAAGAAGGAGGAAACTCTTGTAACATACATAAGCATACTATTCATAAGGCACTATGGTGCAAACCATAAGCATATGACTTAGTTTTTTACTGATTCATAAATATCAAAACCCATCTTTTTTCCCTTTAAATCCTGCTCTTATGCTCTTCTCTAACTCCTTTCTGACTCTTTCAGGATTGTTAAGAGTTTTGAACAATGAACGATGTCTGGAATGGACTAAAACTCAGGCCTCATGGCAGACAGTTGATGGCAGACAGTTGATGGCAGACAGTTGATGGCAGACAGTTGATGGAAGACAGTTGGTGTTGCAGCAAGTACTCTAGTCTGAGCTCTGTGGACCAACAGCTGATGTCGTTCCATCATGATGTCTGTTATGGTTTTATGGTTTTATTCCTTAGTCTCATGAATGCAAAAAAGCAGCCATAAGATGGTGGTATGAGAAGATTGGTCTGAATTTAAGTTGCTGTCAGCTATAAAATGCTTCCAATTTATTGAATAACAATTAACAGGTAAAAATCAGAAGAAGACTGAAAATTCCAAAGGAAAATAAACTGAAAAACAAGTGGATAATTTTGATTAAAAAAATGGATTCTTTAACCATAATATTAATAAAAAGCCTAAAATCGATGATCTTGCATGTAGCTGGGCGTCTCTATATGGAGTATGTAATAAAGGTTTATCACTTTTATTCCTGTAAAATCAAAAGTCTCTTTGGTTTCCATCCAGCTACAGATAAAAACCAGGAAACAGAACTTACAGTAAAGCATTTTGATAAAGTCAACTTCCTTCTGAAAAAACATTTCATTGGAAGAGAAACTCAGAAGCAACTAAGTTTAGCTCAAAAAGAGCTTATTTTATATTATATGTGTGATTGTCACTTAACTGTGGAATGAGATTGGAACGGAACCTGTTGCATCTGTACCAGCATAAAAGGCAGATATGAGTAAGATACGGCAAACAATTAGCTGATGAAAAATATCCTTGATAATTGGTATTACTATTGAAGTTGCACTGAAGTTCATTTAAAAACATTTTTGGTTTTTGACATGCTACTGATGATCTGAATCTTGTGTTCAGTTGCTTGTACAGTGTGACAGTCTTATTTTTTGTGATTGTTACAATGCTATAATCTAAATACCAGTGGCAAATTTAAACTCAATGTGAGCTATACAAACATTTCCCTCACAAAAATTGCCACTGTACATACACTTTTCCTGCATTTTCCAGTTGTTTGCTTAAAGCAAATCTAAAGGAGGGATTTGGAAATGCCCCTATTTTTACTATTGCCCCCAGCAGCCATATTAGACAAAGTGTGCTTCTTCCACGATGCTGTGATGTTTTCCTTCAAATATTCCTACAAACAAATAAGTCTGAATCTTTAGTCTTTAAATATAAAGTTTTAAATGAGCTGGACTAGATATGTTACGTATTTTTAAATGTGTGGTGAACTGCTGTAAAACAGCCTGTTTCAGTTTAAGAGTTGTTTTCAACAGATTGCATGCTCAAAAAGAATATGTTTTGTCTCACTCCCATTTCTTCCCAACCTTGTTTTGATTTTTTTGATTGATTTTGATTTTGATTTTTTGTTGATTTTTTGTTGTTGCCATTTTTCAAGTGATCTTAAACTTTTGATTGGGACTGTATGCTGGCTTATATTTTGATCAGATTTAGGTGATTCTCCAACTGTATTACCATCAGTAACCCCATATAAATCATGGTTCTGTGTTTAACAAGTACAACAATATTATTGTTGTAAACATCATACACATATTTAGCATTAATGTGTATGATGAATTGACAACACAGTTTATATCTTTCTGCATTCCTTCAGACACACACAAAACTGGGTTGAAGGTTGAAGCTAGCTCATGTGCACAAACACACCACCACAAAACTCAGACATTAGAACAATCATTTCTACTGCTCAAAATACATTTCTCATTCATATATTGATCAAACTTATATTTTGATTAGTCTTTGATTAAGAATTAAAATGCTTTATTATTAGGAACTAGAGAAAAGCTCTGTTTTAGCACTTTGATCATATTTAGTCACATAAGGCTGGATATCAAGACCTTTTAACCTCTCTTAGCTGTGCAGAGATAGCGAGGGGGGACTTCAATCTCTTTCTACCCCAGGTCTCAAGACAGTTATTATAATTGTCGTTGTCCCAGATTTTAATGACATTTCCTCTTGTGGTACTAATAAAGGTATCTTATCTTATCTTATCTTATCTTATCTTTAAGGCCTATTAGGAGTGTTCATAAGAGGGTCTTGGCTTTGGAGTTGATGTACATCCGCAGTGCATTGTGGGATCGCGCCGCCATGTTAGAAGGCCACGAATCAAAACAAACACACGGTTGGAAGCAGGACTGCCAGAACTATGCTTAAAATCAGCGCAAAAGACAAAGGGCTGTATCGCGACCGATTGCGCCCAGACGCCAAGAGACGGTACTTGGAAAAAATAGCGTGCATCGGTAATGTGGACCCGTATGAAAAAAGGCAGTGGAGTGGAAACCCAGACAGCCTACCGCCTTGCCTTCCGATATGTCAGCTTAGTGACCCACGACACCGACTATCCGATTCGCGTACCTTGTCTGTGGAGTCAGCGCATACACGGCGAATCTTGTTTTGAAAAACAAAAGTTGTATCCAAGATGGCCGACTTCTAAATGGCCACCATGGTCACCACCCATCTTGAGGAGTTTGCCCCCTCACATACTAATGTGCCACAAACAGGACTTTAATATCACCAACCATTCCCATGTTATTATGGTGTATCCATATAAATAGCCCACCCTGTAGATTTATAGATATGTAAATGTGCGTATATGTAAAACTTTCATGGATTAAATATGATGAACTTTGCCAAGTAGTAATAAAATTATATAACAGTCACGCGAAGGCTCAGCAGAACTGTTTAATGATGAACCCTACAGGCTTCCCCCTCTGAACTAGCTTTCAAATAGCTCATGCTGATAAAGGCCGAGAGATTAGATCCACCCTGTGGGCAGACTGCTATAATCTTCTTCACACTAAGAGGAATCCTGCTTCCTTACATTCTCCAAACAGAGAAGAGATGGGCAACAGCGAGTCATTCTCTGAAGGTGAAGCTGAAACTTTAATTTAGACCTCCAGCTAAAATTTAGATTGCTAACCAAATGAAATGATGCAGAAAGTATGAAATGATACAACTATTGTAATTTGCTGTTAAAATATTTTCAACCTATCATGAGTATAACAGAGTTTTTATTTCTACAGGTGATCCTCTGAGGATTGTGATGATTGGGAAAACTGGTGTTGGGAAGAGTGCTGTTGGTAACACCATTATTGGCAAAGACGTTTTTCAGTCTTTAGTGAGTTCAGAGTCAGTGACCGAGACTTGTGAAATAGAACGAGTTAGAGATTGCAAAAGAAAGATCCAAGTGGTCGATACCCCCGGCATTCTGGATACGTCTAAAAATACAGACATCATAAATAAAGAGATTGCAAAATGCATTCACATGACCACTCCTGGGCCTCACGTCTTCCTGCTGGTTCTTCAGATTGGCAGGTTTACCCAAGAAGAAAACAACTCTGTGCGAGCTCTGGAGAAACTCTTTGGACCTGAGGCAACAAACTACACGATCATCCTGTTCACTCACGGTGACAAGCTAACTAAAGAGAAGACAACCATACAAGAGTATTTGAGAACTGGCCAACCTAAACTCAGACAGTTGTTGGCTAGGTGTGGTGAAAGATATCATGTCTTCGATAACAAAGATAAAAACAGAATTCAGGTGGCTCATCTGATCAAGAAGATCGATCACATGGTGGGAACAAATGGAGGATGTCACTACACAGATAAAATGTTTGAGAAAGCGCAGGAGCAATTAAAAACATCAGGACAGCTTTTAAATGAGGCCTTCATGGCAGAGCTGCGGCAAAAAGTCATCCTGTTTCAGCAAATATTGGCTAATCCAGAGGGCTGGACTAGCTAGGACTACACTTGCCAGTCTTCTGAGTCAATAATGGATCCTTAATCTGATGTAAACGGCCATTAGTTTCCAATTTTGTAATCACAGTAGCTTAAAAAACTGCTTAATGTTTTTAGTTGATATGCTGTCTTATGTCTATTATTATGTGTATAATAGTGTTGTCTGAGAACAAATGTATAAATAATTTAAGTCTGTATGTCTGGTATGTAACCTACATTACATTTATTTTTATGTTCACTAGTAAATATTTTGAGCAGTATATACAAATTCAAGATCTGCTGTAATTAAATAAAACATGAATTGAAAAAAAAGGGTTTTTTCACCTTTTTTGTTTCACTATCAACCATAAAAGTTGATACATCAATCCCGATTTGGTCAAAATTCAGTGACTAACTGAAAACGATCTATTTACTATTTTGGTATCATATCATAATTTGAGGAAGAGGTCAGAGCATCAATCTGAGTTTTACTTATATTGTACCAAATTGCGGCACTACTTGCCTCAGAATACTTCATACTGTTAGGTAAAGAGTTTACATTGTTAGAGACATCAACAAATAGTCCCGTAGGAGTAAGAACTAAGTGAATGTGGGCAGGGAAAGCTTCTTTTTAACAAAATCTCTGGAATCTCCAGAGAAAGAGAAAATTTAGGGAGAAGGAAAACAAGGACAAAGTATAGATGATGGGAGAGAGGAGACAAAATTACATGAGGCAGTAGTTATAAACCCCCGGGGAATGAAAAGAGGTAATAGGGAATCAATGCTCAGTGTATAGAAGTTTTATATAAAAGATTTAGATTTATATTTTTACAGTAACTTGATAACAGCAAAACTACAGACAGACCACAGGACTCATTTTCAAAATACAATGACAGTAACTTTATATTTGCACTAGTTTTATGTGTCAGATTGAAATATTCAAATTAGTGTTTCACCTGTTGTTACATTTTAACCTTTATCTAAAGCTGTTTGGAAACTACTAAGATTTCTGAACATAATAAAAACCTGTTATCAAATGTTTTATACTCCCATAGAGCACATTAGTGATTATGATTACTGCTGTTAAAAAATCATCAAGGCATAATCATGTCACGAAATACCTGAATGCCATTTTATCACTTTATGAGATTGGAAATGACTGGAAATGAAGACGGGGAGTTGCCTTGTTTTTTCACATATCTTTATTACTGTGAAAAAGAAAGGCCAGCATTGACCAGGACATGAACAACAGGCTATCGTCAATTTTTTGTATTCACAAATTAAAAAGTGTTTTTGCCCTGGAGATGGAAACCAAACCAAACTAGATCAAACCAATAACACAAGCAAAGCAGCATGTCGTCCTTGTAAAAAGAAGTAAAAAACGAACAAGCCAAGAGGCAAGTTTCTATTTTACATGTTTTATTCATTATCAGCACAACAATGA